GGAGCCGGTTTTGGGGTCGGGAGGGGTTTTTGGAGGAGCCTTTTAAGGTTTTCAGAGGTTTTGGGGATTTTTGGGGTGGATTTGGGGGTTCGGGGTTTTTTGGGGGGGTGGATTTGGGGTTTTTTGGGGTGAATTTGGGGGTTTTGGGCTGGATCTGGGATCCCAGGGTGGGTTTGGGGTTTTTTGGGGCAGATTTGGAGGATTTGGGGTGGATTTAGGATATTTTTGGATATTTTTTGCTCACCCTGCAGCCCCATGATGCTGCTGACCACCACGATGTGGTTTTGGGGTGGATTTGGGGTTTTTGGGTGGGGTTTTTTTGGATCCCAGCGTGGGTTTTAGGGTTTTGGGGGTTTTGGTGTGGATTTGGGGTGGGTTTTAGGGGTTTTGGGGTGGTTTTTAGGGTTTTTCGGTCCCGGGGATGGATTTGGGGTGGATTTGGGATATTTTTGGGGTCTCACCCTGCAGCCCCATCACGCTGCTGACCACCACGATGTGGTTTGGGGTGGATTTGGGGGTTTCTGGGTGGTATTTTTAGGATATTTTTGGGGTCTCACCCTGCAGCCCCATGACGCTGCTGACCACCACGATGTGGTTTGGGATGGATTTGGGGTTTTAGGGGTGGTTTTTAGGATTTTTGTGGTCCTGAGGATGGATTTGAGGTCTCTGGGTGGGGTTTTTGAGGTTTTTTGGATCCCGGGGATGGATTTGGGTACTTTAGGATGGATTTGGGGTATTTTTAGGATATTTTTGGGGTCTCACCCTGCAGCCCCATGACGCTGCTGACCACCACGATGTGGCCGCTGCGCCGCTGTTTCATTTGGGGCAGCAGGGCCTGGGTCAGGCGCAGAACCCCAAAGACGTTGGTGTCGAACACGCGCTGAACCTGCGGCCCCGTGGCGCTCTCCAGGGGCCCCATCAGCCCCACACCCGCGTTGTTCACTGGGGGGACACGGAACGGGGTCAAAATCCCAAAAATCCCCCCCAAAATCTGAGTATGGGGGGCGGAGATAAAAAAAAAAATCCTATGAAAATCCCAAAAATCCCCACCAAGATCCACCCACGGGGGGCGGAGATACCAAAAATCCTATAAAAATCCCACAAAATCCCCAAAACCCCCACCAAAAGCCACCTATGGGGGGCAGAGATACTAAAAAACCCCAAAAATTCCAAAAATCCCCACCAAAACCTGAGTATGGAGGGCGGAGATACCCAAAATCCTATAAAAATCCCACAAAATGCCAAAAATCCCCACCAAAATCTGAGTATGGGGGGCGGAGATACCCAAAATCCTATAAAAATCCCAAAAATCCACCCAAAATCCTATAAAATCAGCCCAAAATCCCACAAAATCCACCCAAAATCCCATAAAATCCACCCCAGAATTCCCCCACCAGCCCCACACCCGCGTTGTTCACTGGGGGGACACGGAACGGGGTCAAAATCCTAAAAATCCCCCCAAAAATTCACCCACGGGGGGTGGAGATACCCAAAATCCTATAAAAATCGCCCCCAAAATCTGAGTATGGGGGGCGGAGATACCAAAAATCCTATAAAATTAACCCAAAATCCCAAAAATCCCCACCAAAATCTGAGTATGGGGAGCAGAAATACCAAAAATCCTATAAAATCAGCCCAAAATCTTACAAAATCCCAAAAAAACCCACCCCAAAACCGCACAAAATCCGCCCCACGTCCCTCCCAGAAAACAACCCCAAAATCCACCCCAAAATCCCCTAAAAACACTCAAAACCACCCCAAAAATACCGCAAATTCACCCCCAAATCTTCCGCAAAACGCCCCAAAACAGCTCCAGAACTGTCCCGAAATGCCCAAAA